GCCTTTCCCTCTAGACGGGTGTGGCTCCTATCCAGCCCCAGGGCAGGCAACTGGCTGACTGAGGGGGAACGGGACATGGGGCCTGTCCCGTATGAGGAGTGTGGAGGCACCAGCTCCCATCCAGCCCCTGGCTCAGAGGGGAGGTGAATGTCACATGGGTCCTTTCTGCTCTAGGGGGCGTTGGCTCCGATCCAGCTGAAGGGCAGGGACTGGCTGGCTCAGGGGGGCGGGGAATGGGACATGGGGCCTCTCCCCTTTAGGGGGCGCCGGCTCCCATCCAGCCCCAGGGCAGGGACTTGGGGCCGGTACCTGTTGGACTGGGCCAGGTCGAAGCACTCCACGCCGGTCGGGTTGCGCCCGAATCTCTTGAAGAGCTCAGTGTAGAAATCCAGGTCCCAGGAGTCGAAGGCCAGGCCTGTGGGGAAAGGGGGTTAGGGTGGAAGGGGGGGCACAGACCTTTGACCCCCAGCACTCTCCATGGTGGGCAGAACCCCCCCCCCCCCCCAGGACATCGGGGGGCCCAAACCCGGGCTGCCTGGGACATTGGGTCAGCCACAGCTCTCACCCCACCCCAGTAGAGCCTTGCAGAGCCCCAGCTTCAACCCCAGGGTGCCCATCTCCCCTCCCACCCCCACAGACACACACCCCCAACCCCTGCAGTGCGCTCAGCCGCTCCACCCCCCCAGACCATACCCAGCTCCCCATGCCCAGCCCCTCCCATTAGTCTTGGTACTCAGCACCCAGACCCTCCCCACGTATGCAAGCTCTGCCCCCCAGCTCCCCCCCCATACCCAGCTCCTGGTTGGCTCTCTCGAGCTCGGTGCGGCCCCCCCCCAGCACATCCACATCCCAGGTGGGGGCAGGGCAGGCGGCCACGGTGAAGCTGCAGATTGGTTCCTTGTAGCGCTGCTCCGTCATCCGGTCACAGAGCACCGCCACCAGGGCGTCCTCCTCGGGGGGCGTGGGGCGCTCGGCACACTGCCGTGGAGGGGCGCAGTGTCAGAACGGGGAGCTGTCTCCCCTTCCCCTGGGTGAGAAAGGGGACACACTGCCCGCCCCTATACGTTGACTAGGGGAAGCTACCACCCACCCCTCCCCTCTGGGGACAGGAACTGGGGACGGAGGGGGGCTGAGAACAAGGACCCCCCCATCCCCGGGAGCAGGAAGAGGAGACAGACAGACCAAGCCCCCCCGCTCTCCCACCTGGAGATCTGGGCATCGGGAGGAGAGAGAGAGCAAGTGGCCCAGGAACTTCCTCCCACCCCACAGCCCCATTAACCCCACAATGCTGGAACTTCCCCACACCCCTGCACGCCTCCCCACCCATCCCCCAGGGGTCATCCCCTCCGTTCCCAGGGGTCCCACATTCCCCCTCACCTGCAGCAGGTAGCGGTGGGAGAGCTCGACACGGTCAATGCAGCCCAGCCCCGCGGCCCGGCACACGGACACCACGTTGGTGGAGA